TGTGTGTGTGTGTGTGGTGTGTGTGTGTGTGATTGTGTGTGTGTGTGTCTGCGTGGGCTCCCCCAACAGCACCCAGAAGTGGCGGCGCAGCCCTCCAGGGATGGCGAGGTCCCGCTTGTGTCTGCGTGGGCTCCCCCAGCAGCCCTCAGACGTGGCGGCGCAGCTCCCCAGGGGGGGTGGGGGGCGAGGTCCCGTTTGGGTCTGCGTGGGGCCCCGCAGCCGCCCAGGGACGGCGAGGTCCCGCGTGGGCCTGCCTAGGGCCCCACTGCACGGCCCCCCCCCCCCCGCAGCCCACGACGGTAGCGACGGTTACACACTTCGCGGCTCCCCCCACGAAGGACGCGAGAGGCGAGAGAGCCGAGAGGAGAGCGGGGGGGTGCGAGGAGGAAAAGGAGAAGGTCGAGACCCCACTGAAACGAAACTCCCTTTCCCCCTCGTCCTCGTACTGTTTCTCCACATCCTCCTCCTCCTGCCCTTCCTCGCCCTCCTCCCCCCCCACCCCCCCCCACCCCCCACCCACGCACGCACACACGCACACACACACACACACACACACACACACACACACACACACACGCACACACACCACACACACGCACACACACACAAACACACACGCACACACAATCACACACAGACACTCTGGGCGAGGGGGATCCCTTTCTTCTGCGGGGTGCGGAACTGGTCTTTATCCGGGCGAAGAGCCCAATCATGTGCAGTTGTGTGTCTTGTTGTTGTGGGCATCGCCTCCAGTGGATATCCTCATGGGGCCACAACGCGTGTAAAGGGTGTACCGACATGGGGCGGGGACGCCATGCGGGCGCTGCAATTGAGGCCTCAGGTATACCACTTGGGGCCACGAGACGTGCGCTAGGCGTGCCGAGGTGGAGCGGTGCCGCCGTGCGAGCGTCGCCACTGGGGCCTCCGGCGGAGCTCATTAACTATGGGGCCACGAAGCGTGCCAGGAGTGCGCCGAAATTGGTAGGGGGGGCGCGTGCGAACATCGCCACTGTGGCTCTCGGTGGCGCTTCTTATGTGGCGGGCACGAAACGCGTGAGGGGTGTGCCGAAATGGGCAGGGGGAGCCATGCGAGCGTCGCCATTGAAAACGTCGATGAAGGTCCTTATGCGTCCACGCAGCGTGTGGGGGGTGTGGGGGAGTGGGGAGCGCGTGCGAACGTCGCAAGTCGGGCCTCAGGTGGAGCTCCCCATGGGGCCACGAAGCGTTGTATTGGGCGGGGCGGGCGCATGTGCACGTCGCCACTGGGGCCTTCGGTGGAGCTTCCTCTGGGGCCACGAAACGCTGTACTGGGTGGCGCGGACGCATGCGAACGTCGCCGCTGGGGATTTGGCGGGGTTCCCTATGGGGCCACGAGGCGCTGTGCTGGGTGGCGCGAACGCATGTAAGCACAGCCATTGGGGCCTTCGGTGGAGCTTCCCCTGTGACCACGAAACGCTGTACTGGGTGGCGCGGGCGCTTTTGATCACAGCCACTGGGGCCTTCGGTGGAGCTCCCTATGTGGCCACGGGGGGCTGTATTGGGTGGCGCGGACGCATGTGATCACGGCCACTGGGGCCCACGGTGGAGCTCCCTAGGGCACCACGTAACGCTGTGCAGGAGTGGCGCGGACGCATGTGATCGCAGCCACTGGGGCCTTCGGCTGTTTTTATGCGGCATCGAAACGTTGTGTTGGGTGGCGGACGCATGTAATCACAGCCGCTGGGGCCTTCGGTGGAGTTCCCCATGGGGCAACGAAGCGCTGTGCTGGGCGGGGCGGGCGCATGTGATCACAGCCGCTGTGACTTTCGGCGGTACTCTGTTGTACTGGGCGGCGCGGGCGCATGTGATACCAGCCACTGGGGCCCACGGTGGAGTGCCCTATGGGGCCTTGAAGCGTTGTATTGGGTGACGCGGACGCGTGTGAGCACAGCCGCTGGGGCCTTCGGTGGAGCCCCCTAGGGAGCCCCGAAACGCTGTATTGGCTGGCTTAGACGCGTGTAATCGCAGCCGCTAGGGCCTTCGGTGGAGTCCCGTTATGAGGCCACGAAACGCTGTGCCAGGTGGCGCGGGCGCATGTGATCACAGTCTCTGGGGCCTTCGGTGGAGCCCCCTATGTGGCCACGAAACGGTGTGTTGGGTGGCGCGGGCGCATGTGATTACAGCCACTGGGGCCTTCGGTGGAGTTTCCTATGAGGCCACGAAGCGGTGTGCTGCGTGGCGCGGACGCATGTGATCACAGCCACCGAGGATTTCGGTGGAGCTCCCTATGGGGCCACGAAACGCCATGCTGGGTGGCGCGGGCGCATGTGATCACAGCCACTGGGGCCTTCGGCGGGTCCCCCCGTCCTTCGGGGCCGCGCAGCGCTGCGCCAGGCTGGGAGGGGGGGGTGAGGGGGAGGAGTCAGGAGAGGAGACGCTGTGCGTTGTCCCTTCAAAACGAGGACCCAACACTACAGGATGGTTGGGAAGCAACCTGTCCTTCTCCGCCTCCTCGTCCTCGTATTACTCCTTCTCCTCCTCCTGCTCATTCTCCTCCCCTCCCTTCTTCTGCTTCCAGATTGAGGATTTCGTGCCCATAATTCCTTTGTTTGGTGCAGAGCTTAATATGGCCTGCCGAGGTTTAGCCATGCTTGCCAGGGCTGGGCGTGGCTTAGCAAAGCTTACCAAGGCCAATCAGGGCTTAGCAGGGTTTGGTAGAGGCTTAACAGAGAACGTCAGGGAGCAACCATTCTTAGCATACCTTAGCATGGCGTAGCAGGGTCTACCAGGTCTTAGTTAGGTTGGGCAACGTCTACCCGAGCTCAGTAAGGCTTAGCAGGACCAAGCAAGGCTGCCCGAGCTTGTATCTGAGCTTGGCAAGGTTTAGCAAGATGTAGCAGGGCCTAGCCGAGCTAACCCGGGCTGAGCAAATCTCATCCGAGCTCAGCACTGCGCAGCAGGGCGTACCAGGACCCAGCAGGGCTTAGCAGAGCTTGCCAGAGTTTCCAAGTGCGTAGCAGGCTCAGCAGGGGCTTCACCAGGTTTACGAGGCCTCAGCACTGTTGCCAGGTCTTAGTCGGAGTCGGCAGGGGTGGACAACGCTCAGCAGAGCACATTGCTTCGCAAGGACTAACAGCGCGTTGCAAATCTTGCCAAAGCTGGGCAAGGCACCCCAGCAAGGTTGCCAAGCTTAGCTGGACCCAGCAAGGCTCACCACGCGCAGCAAGGCCTAGCAGAGCTGACCGGGGCATAGCACAGCAGGCCAGGGCGTACCAGTGCGCAGCAGGGCGTGCCGGGTTATCGCAGGGCTTAGCAGGGCGTGCCGGGTTATCGCAGGGCTTAGCAGGGCTTGCCAGGGCTTAGCAGTGCTGAGCAGGCTCAGTTGGGCTCCGCACGGTTGATTCGCACAGCTTAGCGGGGCTCACCAAGGGTTGATAGGGCCGACCTGGTCTTAGCAGGGCTGAGCAAGGCTCCGTAAAGTTCAGCAGGGCACGAGGCTTTGCAACTATTAGTGGCGCTTAGCAAAGCTTGGCGAAGCTGAGCAAGGCACAGCGAGGCTGAGCTGGGCCTATCAATGCTTACCAAGCTTAGCTGGGTCTTGCAAAGCGTACCAGGGCATATAAATTCGTTCCCGAGCGGACCAGCATTTAGCACAGCTAAGCAAAGCGCGCCAGTGCTCAGAAGTTCAAGGGTTGGTTCAGTAGGGTTTAGCAAGGCTGACAGGCTTAGCAGGGCTTTTCCACATTTAGCAGGGCTTACAAAGTCTGAACAGGGCGTTAGTAACGTTCAGCAGAGTTCAGCAGGCATTCGAGCTTCGTAAGGCTTAGCAGGGCTCAGCAACGCTTGCCAAGGCTGAGCAAAGCTTAGCAAAGGTTGGCATGGCTTCACAAAGCTTACTAGGCTTGAGCAGGGCCTACCAAGGTTTAGCAGTGCTTACCAGGGCTTAGCAGGGTTTGGCAGAGCTTACCAGAGATGAGCAGAGTGTGGCAGGGACTATCAAAGCTCCGGGGCCTTCCAGGGCTTAGCAGACCTTAGCAGGGCTGAGCAAAGCTCAGCAGGGCCAAGCAGGGCTTAGCAGGGCTGGCCAAGAGCGTAGCAGGGATATGGCGATGGGGAAACACGGGCAGACAGCGAGAGAAACAGAGAAAGAGAGAGAGAGAGAGAGAAACGGCCAATGATGAAGAGAAAAGGAAGACAACTAAATTTTTGGGAAACACATGTGTTCCATCCACAGTCTCCCGGCCCCGAGAACCGAGGCAGGGTCCATTTCGATCCGGTCGATCCGATTCGATATCGATTATCCGACGATCCAGTGTTGCCCAGAGGCAGCCGCGTCTCCCGCCATGCCCACAGCCTTGCTTCTTTGGGCGTGGGGCCTCCCGATTGCGAGACTTCGACTGATTCAGACTTCCTCGCGTCGCGCAGACTATCGCGACGAAAGATGGTCGACAAATCTTGGCATCTGCAGGCCCCCGCTACTACTGCTACATTTACGATCACTACTGCTGCTACGACTACTAGTAGCATTACAGCTCGGGCTACTACTACGACGACTACTACGACTATTACAACGACTACGACTTATACGAGTACAACTACGACTTCTTATTCAGCATCACCTTCTCACTATTACTACTGCAACGACGACGACGAGTACGACTACTATGTGTATACGTTGCGTATACGCCCGCGCATACGTTTTGCATGCGTATCTTTCCTCTTTCGTGTGCTGTGCGTATCCGTGCCGCGTACTGTTCGTATACGTTTTGTGGGCGTTTTTTTGTTCTCACGTTTTGCATACGTTCCGTACGTTTTTTTTTGTTTTGTTTAAACGTATCGTATACTTGTCGCATGTGTTGCGCATAAGCGTTTTGATTGATGTGCGGCATCTGTCGCATATGTTTCGCGTATGGTGTGTATTTGCTTGGTACCGGTTTGTATGCGTGTCGTAAATTTGTCGAGTATTTGTCATATGCTGGGGGGCGGAGGCCGCAGGAGGGCAGAGGGCAGAGGGCGTCCAGGCGGCGGGCGGCCAACGTCAGCGAGTGCCCGCCCAGCTATTACAACGACGGCAGCTCCGACGACTGCTCCCAGTGTGGCGGCCTGGGCGGCGAGACCCGGCGCCGGCGTGCCGAGTCCTGCACCGCCTGCCAGAAGTACGCGAGCTCCGAGGGCGAGGACGGCTGCTCGCCTGTGGACTGCCCCTCCGATGCAACGGGGGAGAGCGTGTCTGCGGGCTGCTGGTGCCCATCGAAGAAACAGGGACACTAAGCGAAGCATACGCCGCTCGGAGGTCCGCGCGAATTTCTCGGCTCGGAGCTGGAAGCCCTTTAAGGCGGCACCTCCTCCGGCGCCGCCCCCTCGTGCGCTGCGAGGCCCCGCGCCGATCCAGGAAGTCGCGCGGGCCCCCGAGCAGTTGTGCTCGTGAGCTGTTGCTACAGTCGGGGCCCTGAAGAAGGAACCCTTTTCGTTGGGGAGGGGCTCCGCGTTCCTTAATTGTTCCTCAATGTTTTCGATGGGACATCGAAGTTTAACTCATGGGAAAAAAGGGGCCTCGTTCCTTATTTAGGGTTCCTTAGGTCAACGCCCCGACTGTATCATTCTATGTGCCCAGGCCCCCCAAATTGGGCCGGAGCACATGGGGGTGGAGGATCGCTCCGCGTCGCCGATGCATAGGCGATGCGGCAGGGTCCTCGGACCCCGTCTGCTGCAGCCCCCTTTGGGAGGCCTCAAGGTGTGGCACCGGATTTTCGGGCTCGATCCGAGCTACGACCGAGTCGCCGTATTATTCGGGCGAGTGTGTGGAGCTGCCCTTCTACATCAGGACCTCAGGATTCTGCCCCGTTCCGATATTGAATGCCGACCTGTGTGCGAAAGCCGCACAGGTGGTTGGTCTCAGAGCGACCTATGATGAAGACTTCGTGACCGATCGTGCCGAATCTTGGGTGGTGGACTGGGAGAGTTACAAGCAATAGGATCCTCACCCCCCGCATCGCATGCCAGTTCTCGTCATCATCACCCTCCCTCTTTCCCTGATTCCTCCTTTTCCTTCCCCTCCTCCTCCTCCTCCTCCTCCTCCTCCTCCTCCTCCTTCCGTAGCCATTTTGGCTGAAGAGCCACCTTTCGCGGGGTTGGCGGCGACATCGCACGCGCGGTGAGCGTCTCTTTCATCCATGCCTCTTCCGCAGTGCTTCTTGCACCTCGCTGCAATGGCGGCGGCTCTGCATCCTCTACAGCGGCCAGCTCCCTCAGCCGCACGCGCGGCGACATGCACCTCAAGGGCTGCATCACCGGTATGCGGCGATCGGTTTCCAGGCGCCTTTGGCACGCAGCAGCGGGGCTCGGGAGCTTACCGACCGCGGGGGACACGATCCACACTCGCTGCGGAGCGTTGCCGACTTCGCGCGCTGGAACGCCACTACTTGCTCCCGTCCCGAACGGGCTACACGTACATGCAAGTCCCCTCGGCCATCAAGCCCGAGCTCAAGCATTTTGCCTTATCCATTGACGCCTCGCGGGCGGTGGAGAGCAAGACTGATATCCATCGGCGCAACAGGGCTCAACTACGGGACGCCGCTTTTGCTTCTGGCCACATCGACCGCGCAGAGGTTGACGATTTCAAGTACACCTACCAGAAGGGCATCATGGCTCGGCACCGCAATTGGATTCGCGGTTCCATGTCACCGTCGCCGACGTCACAGCCGCCATCCACTCCGGCCAAGCGCGTCCTCTGGGCCGACAGTTTTGACCAGGAGTTCCCCGCGCTCTCCACGGACATCAGCGCCAGCTCCAAGTCGGAAGTTGGTTACCAGTGGCGGGTTGTTTTGCAATCCCAGGAATTTTCGAGGGTCGGGGGCGACTTCGGGGTGGTGCGGTGTACACGTGTCTCCCCGTTCTCCCGTGGAAACAACGAACAAATTTATACACAGGGATCCCGTATACACCAGGATCCGCTTTCCTGTGCGAGTTCCCGTGCGGGGCCAGAAAAAGCGTCGGTGCAAAGAGTTCGGTTCCTTACCAAGCACCAGGACGTCTCCACAGATCCGGCCTCTTCTTCCTTGTCATTGGTGTTTTCCCGCCGCTCTGGCTCAAGCCTGGGGAAGCGTGGTTCGCTCTCTTTGCCTGCTACATGCGACGCCTTGGCGGACGACGTGGCTATCTCCACGCTCAAGAACTCGCTGTTCTCCACGATCACAGTGAAGATGCGGGAAGCCAAGCACTCCCTGGCCAAGCAGACCTAGGGAAAGATCCACGTCGACACGTGCTCCTTCGTCACGCGGCCCGAGCTGGACAACACCAACATGGCGTCCGCGCATTCGCTCGCGGCGAAGATCGACGAGAACCTCTGCGAGGCCCAGAACAAGTTCGTCACGCTCGAGCTGCTCGCGGCGCAGCTCTCCAACATGACCAAGATGCTCCTGGACAACAACACGGAGGCGCTGAATACCATCACCGACAATACGAACGCGATGTTTGCGACCACCCCCTCGTCCCTCGCCGCGGCGCAAGAGCACTTCTCCGAGCTGCAGCTGGACATAGGTCGGTTTAAGTTTCGGCGGCAGTCGGACATCACGAACTACAACGACAAGCTCGACGGGGTCGGCTCAAAGCTCGAGCAGTGGATGATCTCCCTGGAGCTCCACCGCGCGACCTTTGAAGACAAGAACTACGAGATCTCCCTGGACCCGCCGCAGCCCCTGGACAGCTACTACGCCGATCTTCGGGTACACATCCAGTCCGAGAGCTGCCTCGACGATTTCTCGAAGCTGTTGGACACGTACGCCTTCGCATCTACGCCACCGCCATGCATGTTCGCGACTATCGCTGACCAGCTGGAATGGGTAGACTCGGTAGCACCGGCGCCGACGCCCGCACCTTCGCCTTCATCTTCACGTTCACTAACAACGAGTACAGTTGCATGGAGCGCGTCTCCTACTGACACTTACCGATCGGCTAGCAGTGGGTGCGGCCACGGGCGGAGCGGGACTAACATCTTTGCCCTCTTCTCGTCTCTTGTCCGCTTGCCCTCTTCTCGTCTCTTTCAGCTACGGTCACTCCTCCTCCTCCTCCTCCTCCTCCTCCTCCTCCTCCTCCTCCTCCTCCGCCTCCCCCCTTCCTCCTTACTCCTCCTCCTCCTCCTCCTCCTCCCTCATTTCCTTCGCAGGCTGGGCGTGAGCCCCCGCCGCTGTGGCCTCCTGGCCGACGGCCGCGGTGCCTCACCACGGGGCCGGGGGCTGTACCCGCCACGTCCCCCTGTCGGCGGGGCCTTCGGCCCAGCGCCGCGCATTTTGCGCGCCACATCGCCCGCGTGGGCGGCTGAGGGCGGCGGATGGTTGATCGCGCCTGTCCGCTTTTCGGTGTCTTTTATTCTTATAATTGTTACTCTTACTCCCTCATCTCCCTCCTGCCCTGGAACACCGACCCACGCCCAGGGCAAGCTTTCTGCAAGCTCTTGGCAGCGTAGCTCCACATTGCGGGAGCAGGGAGAAGCTGCTCCCGATCCTTCTTCCTTTCCTCCCCTCCTTCTCCCGTGAATGCTCGCAAGCCTTGAGCCCTCTGGCCACCCAACAGCGTTTCGGCTCAAGCTCCACAGGACGGCCCCGTTCTGACTGCCTAAGCCACAGGGAGCTCCGCTTCTAGACCATCCTCGCCAGATGACCCGGACGCACGCGGCGACCCAGCCTCCCAGCGGTTGCGACAGCCTGGGCCCTTGAAGCCCACATCTTCATCGAGTTCTTGTCGGGATCCTGACGGTTGGCCCGGGCCATTTGGGAGCAGGGGGGGGGCGGCATGCGATGTTTTGCACGGTCCAGGTTTTGACCCCGATGCCCAGGTAATCCAACAATTGTGGACGAGGCTAGGTGAGCAGTGGCTAGCGGGCGTTCCAGAGGGACCTTTGCGCGATTTACTCCCCAGGCCAGCGACTGGATGGCCCAAAGGCCCAAGGGCCCTGGACCAACCCTTGGCATTCGATAACAGTGTTGGGGGCCACTGATCCGTTGACAGTGAAGATTAGAAACGCGCCTCTGAAGCTCGTGGCGTCCCTTTGGTACCTGGCCTCCTCGCGGCTCCCTTTGGTACCCAGCGCTCTCACGGCTGGTTGGCTTCGCCAGTGGTGACATTGTTGCATTGGCAGGGCATTCCTTTCCGCAGGTCGGGTATTTCTCGCTCGGGAAAAGAGGAGGAATTCCAGAACATTTGACGTTTTTTTGTTTTTGTATCGGCCTCTTTTGGATAGAAAATCTTGGCGCACCGGTCGAAGTTGCATTCGGACGGGGGAACAAACAATCAGGGTAATTCAAACATATTGCCCAAAGGCATGCGACGAACACCGCCGAAGTTTTGTTGATGCTCCTCTTACCATTTGCGGTTCGGGCTCCTCTGTCAGGCCCGTGCCTCTGCGAACCAGTTGGCACGACTGTTCGCCCGCGGCACCCCTTGCGAGAAGGTACGCGGCACGTCCAGGCCGGCGAGGTGTAGCCGTGAGGGCGTGGGATGCTCTCGCGTCCTGGTCTGCGAACATTTGCCCGCTGGAGCGCTGCGCCAGATTCCAGCCCAAGCCCCACGGTGCGGCCGCGACTGCTGCAGCGGGGCCGCGTGCTGCTGCGGAGGAGGAGGAGGAGCAGGAGGAGCAGGAGGAGCAGGAGGAGGAAGAGGAGAGGACGAGGAGGAGGAGGAGGAGGAGGAGGACCACGCGGAGGAGGAGGACGAGGAGGAGGAGGAGGAGGAGGAGGAGGAGGAGGAGGAAGGTCCACCTCTGGGCGGTGCTGTCGGAAACGAGCCCCGCGCTCCGCCGCTCGCGTGCACCGGCGCTCCGTAGGCACGGCCGGGCCGCGCAGCTGCGCCTGGGCCCGAGCCGCACCTCCTCCCTCCCTTCCTCTGTTTTTTTTTGTCCCTTGTTCGTTCGCGAGGAGGAGGAGGAGGAGGAGGAGGAGGAGGAGGAGGAGGGAGGAGGAGGAGGAGGAGGAGGGAGGAGGAGGGAGGAGGAGAGGAGGAGGAGGAGGAGGAGGAGGAGGAGGAGGAGGAGGAGGAGGAGGAGGAGGAGGAGGAGGAGGAGGAGGAGGGAGGAGGGGGAGGGAGGAGGAGGAGGGAGGAGGGAGGAGGAGGAGGGAGGAGGAGGAGGGAGGAGGAGGGAGTAGGGAGGAGGAGGGAGGAGGAGGTCAATCGACCGCGGTCGCTGAAAGGTGTCACCGCGTGCTCTTCGGCACCGGCCCGCCGTGCAAGCACGACAACGTCCTCCTGCTGCTGCTGCTGCTCCTCCTCCTCCTCCTCCTCCATCTGGTTCGACTCCCCCGTTCTCCCGGAGCGGCCGCGGCGCGCCCTGTCGGGCGGCGTCGAGCGGGGGAGCCGTAGACCCTTGCCCCGTGCCTGGCTGAGCGCGCGATGTGGCGGGCGATCGCAAACATGGATTAAGGTGGCGTGGATTCGCGACGGGGTCCCGTTTCCATGGGAAATCGCACATTTCCGCCGCCGAACGCGACGGCACCGGCCACATTTTGGGGAGGGCACCTCCCCCGATCCATGGATTTGGCGACCGCGCGCCAAATCCATGGATCGTTAATCCATGTTTGCACGCCCCCGAATGCGCGTGTGCCAGCACTGGAAGCGACTGCTGGCGCACTTCAGCGATCTCGTCGGACAGGCTTTTCGGGGGGGTGACCGTCGCGGCGCGCGGCCAGAGAGGACGGACTGTTGGATGCCCGCCTGGCGAGAGCAATGGAACGCCTCGGCATCAGCTATCACGTCCTCCAGCACTTCACGCAGCGAAGGGACGAGGCTCGCGGCTGCTGGGGCACGCCGACACACGGAATCAAAAACAGCGCAGCCAGTTCGTCAGTCGGCGTGGTCCCCCACTTTGATGCGGGCAGACAATCGAATTCGCCTGTCAATTCGACAAGCACTAATTCGGCGACAGCGTTAACCTCACAGCCTGATGCGGTGTTATAGAAGTACCAGGGCGTTCAAGCGCAGGAGATGCAGACTCAAGCGAATCTGATGCTACACTTTTCGAGAGGCCGACGTTGTTTCACACTCCTCGTACGAGTGGTACCCACGGGAATCGGAGCACGAGTGCCAGTTCTGCTCCGACCTGGGCGCCAGAGTCGGCGTCGGGCAGCCTGGACACGACATCGGCTCCAGCACCGTCCCGCCATCGCCCAGGAGGACACAGTGGGTATCGAGGTGGGTGCGCCTGTGTTGGCCATGATGCCCAGCACGCAGCCTGCTGGAATCGAGGTCCGGTTCAAAGACTGCCCTCTGGTGGTCTGCCCTTGCCCAATCCTCCACCGTCAGACCTCGTGCGCGCGCGCTTCCGCTGTTGCTTTGCAGGTGCCTCTGAGGCCCCAGACCATGCCTGGACTTGCCTTTTCTGGCAGGCAGTTTTGTGTCGGTCGGGGGCGGCAAAGAGGGGGGTGATGTCTAGGGGGGGGGGATATCATGGCGTGGGCCATGATATTTCCTCAGATCTCATGGCGCCTCTTCTTGTTTAAATACGTTCCCTGGTCCCCCCCTGGGGCCGCGCACATGCCGCCAGCCATGATTTGCACCCCCCCCTCTTGGACACCCCCCTCTTGGCCGCCCCCGAGTCGGGCTCTGGCTGTGAGCCCTGCTTTCCCGCTGCGACGCTCGCCGTTCGCCGGAGTGCCGCGCGGTGGCCACTGCAGTGCTTCGACTGGCGAGCTGCTCGGCCGACGGCGCCTGCGCGAGCGCAGCGCAGGCTGCCGCCACGCGGCATTAGAGCTTGAAGAGTTCCATCCCGCCGCTCGGCTTGGACCGGGCGTGTCCCCCCTACAGGCAGATCGTTTGAGGAAAAATGAAAAATATGCAGAGCATGCGCAAAAGTCAAAAATTCTCCCAAAAACCGTCCCTGGACTATTCTTGACTATTTTTGAATTTTCTCCCTGTAGAGGGACGTGCCCGACTGAACGCTCGGCCTTCAGCGAGTTTTCCGGCGACGAGCTGGGCATCTGGCAGCCAGCGTTCCTGCCCATCGCGCGCCAGTCCTGCCTGGTGCTCGGCGGCTGGCGGCCATGTCTCGGCTTTTTCGTGGCACTCTCTGCGCCTGTCTCTCCCGTCTCCCGGTTTTTACACGACGTGGGCCCCTGGAGCGGGTCGAAGGAAACGATGATGTTTCTCCCGCCTGAATAGAAGATGAAACAAAACATAAACTTTTGACTCTCCGCGCGGATTTCTTGGATTCGCGCTGGACTCCCTCTGGCGCGCGGAGCCCGCCAGGCGCCAGGGGCGGCGCCGGAGGCGCCGCCAGGGGGCCCAGGCGCGGATCCAAGACATCCGCGTGGAGCGCCAGAAGTTTATGTTTACGTGTTTTTTCCTTCTCCGACCGAAGGGGTGTTTCTTGCTCTGTATATGCAAGAGGCGGGTCACCTAGGCGCGCTGCGCACGGGTTGCCCAAGGACGAGCCCCGTGGTGCGTCGGGGACGCTTTCAGAATCGACGCATTGCACGGCAGTGCAAATGCCGCCGCAATGCACGGCAGTGTAAATGCCGCGTCACAGTGCACGATGCAATGCGAAACAGAGATCGGGCTTGAAAAAACGAAACAGCCAGGTCCGGCGGGTCCCGGAATGAGATGGACGGCGGCCACTCGAGCAATGGAACAGCCAGAGCCCGCGGGACCCGGGACCCCACGGGCCGCCACCAAAAAGTCGCCGCAGCCAGAGCCAATATGTCTGAGACAAGTCAGCAGCTTTGAATGCAAACATCGTTTGGGAAAGGTTGTGAAATTGAAAATCGTCGTGGGGCTCGTGCCAAGTCCGATGAGTTTCTAGTGGCATTGGGGGAATTTGGCTGTGGTTAGATTCCCATGCGATCCCCGGCGTATTTCCTTTTTCCGATTCGGCTCCGCTCCAAGTGATTCCGAAGGTGTTGGGGGTCGGTTCTGGCCCGATTCGTCGCAATTGATTTTGTGAATCGGAGGTGGTCGACGATGACTACATCCCAGGAGATTACTCATCGGAGCCGAGTGGGTGTTACGAGACGCCAGATGACGGCTCTGAATTATTTATCAACGCTGTCGGGGAGAACGCCTGCTCTTCATCCTACAGGTGCATCTGTCTGGGGTACGAGAACGAGTTCGCTTGCACGGATTTGAGTGGCAGTATTGGCGGCGCAGCTTGCCCCGACACTGGCAACATCTCTTTCCAAGCAACCACTGATTGCGATGATGTCGATAGGTGGTCATGCTGCGGGTGCGGCGGCGGGGAGCTCGAGAAGCCGAATAACAACGGGTGCGTGGACACAGACGGCTTGTCTCTCCGCGCTCCGATCACGGAAGGCACGCCGGGCCAGGCGGAGTCTTTCGAGGCGGCAGCGGCCAGTGGGAATGGAGGGCAGGCGAGAGAGTGGGCTGAATGGTCGAGGAGGAGAGATGAGGTGAGGGGGTGAGACGGGCAGAAGAAGGACGGGGAGGCGGGGAGGGTTTGGGGTTTAGGATTCAAGGCTTAGGTTTAAGGAGGAACAGGAGGGGAAATAATGGAGAGGGAGAGGAGCGGGGCATGGGAGGAGAGGGGCCCGCTTCATGATCCTCGTCCGTTCTCATCTTTCTCCTCCTCGTCCTCCTCTCCCCCTCAAATCGCATAATCATTTCTCCTCGTCGTCGTCCTCTTTCTCCTCGTCGTCCTCCTCGTCCCTTCATGCTCCTCTGCCCGCTACCTCCCCTCTTCCTTATCGTTATCCAGCTGCCTGCGGCAGGTCCCGCCGCCGTGCCAACACAGCATGCTGGATGGCGACCGTTCGAGGGGGCACGGGAGGCCGTCGCATGTGACACCTCGCGTCTCCAGGCTCCAGAGGGCCGTGATGAGGACTATGAGGATGATTGGGATGATGACGGTGATGATGCTAGAGTCTGTTGCTGGTGATGATGGCGAAGACGGTCGATGATGATGAAGATAACGATGAAGGCGATGATGACGATGATACTGATTATTATGCTGACGCTGGTGATGGTGCCGTTGATGATGATGATGATGATGACGATGATGATGATGATGATGATGATGATGATGATGATGATGTTGAGGATGATCGTGACGGGGATGTTGACGCTGACGATGCTTGTGACGACAATACTGATGATGAGGATGATGCTGACGATGATGAGGACGACGCCGATGATGATGGTGATGTTGATGATGATGTTGATGATGACGCTGATGATGGTCAGGATGCTGATGGTGTTGATGGTACTCTTGATGATTATGATGGTGGTGATGGTGATGCTTGTGATGGTGATGGTGATGATGATGCAGATGCTGATGTTGATGCTGATGCTGATGATATTGATGATGACGATGATGATGATGGTTGTGAGTATGATGATTATGATGATGATGACGATGACCATGGTGATGATGATGATGATGATGATGATGATGATGATGCTGATGCTGATGCTGATGCTGATGCTGATGATGGTGATGATGATGATGATGATGATGATGATGATGCTGATGAGTATGATGGTGCGGCTGCTGCTGTTGCTGCTGCTGATGATGATGATGACGATGATATGAGGAGGATGAAGCTCGGTTGGGCCGTCGTAAGGCTGCCTTGGCCTCCTGTGAGGCAGTCTTGGGGGTCATCCGGGGCCCTCTTGGGCCGTCTTGGGGCCCTCTTACGCTGGCTTGGGGTTCCCTTGCGCCGTCTGAGGGTCCTCTTGACCGTATGGTGGGTGTCGAGAGGCCTTCTTTGGCAGTCTTGGGTCCCACGGGAGGCCCTCTTGGGCAGTCTTGGGGCCGTAGGGAAGCCTACTCTATGGATGGTTGCTATGTGCCCCAGTGCAGGAGGGCAGAGCACGCCAGAAGGCGACCCAAACCTACCCCAAAGCCAGAGCGACCCAGAAGGCGCCAGGAAGGATCGCAGAGGGCCCCGAGATGGGCCAAGGAAGGGCACCAGAAGGGCCTGGGAAGGCCCAGAGGAGGTCTTTCAGATGGCCCAAGAAGCGCGAGCACCCCAAGTTGGGCCAGATTCGTCGAACAAATACCCCAGAACGCATCCTGCGCGGAGTGGAGCCCCCTTTCTTGTTTCAAGTGACAGCCAGCCAGGCGAAAGCCATTGCATTATTTGTTTGCCAACGTGTATGTGCAAGCTACGTGGTGCAAGCAACGAGAATCAAGCTCTGTGGTGGCAGCAACGTGGTGCAGTAGATGTGGTGCAAGCTATGTGGTGGAGGCTATGTGGCGGAAGCAACGTGGTACAAACGTTGTGGCGGAAACCATGGTGTAGAAACTACGTGGTGGAACTGTACAAGCTACGGGGCGGAAGCTGTGTGGTGTTATGCATATCTGTGTATATACGTATATTACGTATGCGGTGCCAGCTACGTGGCAGCAGCCAAGTAGTGGAAGTTATGTGTTGGAAGCCATGTGGTACAAGCTTTGGAGCGCAAGCAATGTGGTGGAAACTACGTGACCGAAGCTATGTAGTGCAAGCTAAGTGGAGAAACGCTGCGTTGCAACTTTTACATTGTTCGCGATCGCCCCCGTTACTGGCCCCGCCCCCCCCCCTCCCCCCTTGGTAGCGTCACGATTCGCGCCAGCGCCGTCTGAGAATTAACCATTCCCAGGCCTTCCCAGACAGCGCTGGCGCGAATCGTGGCGTTACAAGTGTCCCTCCCCCCTCCCCCCCCCCCCGGTACGCCACTTATCTCCAGGAGTGTTTTGACTGCCTTATCGCCCGTGGCCCTCCCACGTGGCGCAAGCTAGTCACTTTGCAAGCTACGTGGTGCACGACATGTCGCGGAGACGCACGGGTCCTGGGCGAGGCGCCCAGCGAGGCGGCGACGAAGCGGCCACGAAGTGGCCACGAGGCGCCAGCGGGGAGCCGACGAGGCGGAGACGGGCGGCCACGGGGCGGCGGCGGGCACCCACCGGGCGGCGACGGGCGGCTACGGGCAGCGGCAGGGCGAACACTCGGGAATGCCAGCCGGCGCGCGAGGCGGCGACGAAGCCGCCACGGGCGTCTAGGGGAAGGGAGAAGCAGAAGCCCTCAAAGCAATGCCCACTGCTGAGAGAGCAAGTAAGAGCCTCTGAGGGCGAGCGTGCCTTTAGGAGTGCGGCGGGGGCGTTGGTTGAGGAATGTGCCCAGGAGGCTGCAGACCCTTGAGCATCCCTTCTTTGATGAGGGCGGCGGTGATATCCATGGCCAAGCCTCAATTGGTGTGCCGCCTGCTCCCAGACCCTGGGATCCTTACTTAACGGTTCCTCACCCCAAATTCCGACCGTAGATAGAGATTCCAACCATTTCTTTGAAGATTCCGCTGTGTCTGCGGAATTGGGCCCAGATGGCGTTCCATGGAACCCAAGAGCCGATTTTCGAGGGCAAGGCGGGACCAAATAGGGCCAACCTACAGTGAACATGTCATCCGACAGGGTGCTGGGAATGAGGTGGAATGCTCGTGCTGGTTTTCGCCAGCGTGCGCAATGATAACCCATGTCTCGGAGATCCCCCGACGCATGCAGCGCCGCCCCCCGCGCCCACTTTAGATTCCAGGCGAATAGACCAGTGCGCGGGATCGCGGGGTCAATTCCCGTTTTCATAGCACCGTATATGTTTAAACAAGGCAGCACATTTCCGATGCACGAGAAACACTGGTTTTCAACATTCCGCGCAATTGCACAAAAGCCCCGCGAAATCCCGAGCCCCGCATCGCGTCGCCGCGACGTCTCGGGAGCGCCGATGCGGGCTCGCCGTCGACAATCCCATCGTCATCTCCGACTTGTCATCATCCTTGTTGTTCCGTTGCCGTGAGCTCTGGCGCAACTGCAACCTGCCGCTATTGCGCCTCCCTTGCTCGCAAGGATGGTTTCTGCGCTTGGCCAGGCGAAGCGGGCCCTCGTCGCCCCCCTGCGCACGCTGGCGGCGGCGCATGCGCGCGCCGCGGAGATCAGCCGGGCGAGCCAGGGCCCCCGAATGGTTTTTCGGGGCTCACGTCTGGTGGGCGTTGAGGCCCGGAACCTGCTTGGACCGAGGCTCTTCGACGACGACGCGGTGTGCCATGTTACCTGCCGCGTGGACCCGTGAATCTACAGCTGGGATAGACGAGCGGTGGCACGGGATAATCTGGCACCCGACGGCCCTATGCCGCGAGAGCTGGTGGGCGCGGCGCGCTGCCGCGCGGGGCCTTTTTATGAGGCCATTCGGGATCCTGTATTGGAGCTTTCCTGGGGGCCATTTAAGCTTCTACGGTAGGTTTGCGTCGTGTCGACCAGCGGCGACCCCAGCGCGGACGTTCAAGGTTGAACGCCGCCGGCGACCCAGAATCGATCGATGTTGAACGATCGGACGTTGCGGCAGCGGCCGATCGTTCAAGGTTGAACGATCCCTGCGGTGTCAAAAACCAACGCTGGGGTCGGCACGACACGAACCTGCCGTACGGGGCCATCTCGGCGTTTCTCCGGGGGTCCCGGGGTGCGCGAGACGGTTGCGGGGCCGCGCGGGGGGGGGGGCCTTGCGGCCGTTTCGGGGCGGCGTCGCGTCGAGTCCAGGGGCCCATCTTGTCCGCGAGCCGGGGGTTCCAAAACGACGTTGGGCGTCATTTTGGGGGGCGTCCCGGGCTGCCTGGGGGCTCTCTGGAGGCCCCCGGACCTCGCCGGGGGTGTCTGGGAGCGACGAACCGAGATGACAATCGCCATGTGAATTTCGTAGGTTTTGCTCGATTCTGGAAGTCTGAGGCCTCTCCCTCCTCCCTGATCCTTTGTCGCTATCGTTCTCCCGATGATATTCTCCATCATCCTCGCTCTCACCCATCGCCCGCCCGCCGCCCCTTCCCTTGCGCCCCCCCCCACCCCCTTCCGACGCTTTTCCTCGCCCCCCCCCCCCCCCCCGCGCCCCTTCCCCCCGCCCACCCCCCGCCCCCTTTCCTCCCCCGAGTCGCCCGCGCGATCCCTTTCCTCTCCCGCCGCGTCCTCCTCCTCCTCCTCCTCCTCCTCGCCCTCCTCCCGTCCTCCTCCTCCCTCTCTCCTCCTCCTCCCCCTACTCCTCCTTCTCCTTCCCACTCCTCCTCTCCCCCCGCTTCCTCCTCCTCCTCCGGGAGCCACTCTGGCACGAAGCTCCCGCGGCGCCACCCGCTCATCGCGCCGCGCGCGAGCAGGAAGCGCCAGGGCAGAGCGGGGGCCCAGGCCATTTCGGGCTGTAGCAGTCGCGCGCACTCTCTGCATTCTTCTGCCGTGGAAGACTCTCTGTCAGAGCGCGCAGCTCGCAGGATTTGCGAGGCTAGAAGATATTTTCGAGGGCGCAGGCAGCGACGACGCCGCGGTAGCAATCGGCGCGGGCAAGTGCGCCGCGTTCGATGGCGAGTCCACCCG